GAAATGCCTTATATAAACCTTGCAAATATTCCTAGACTGCCATTTATAATTAAAATTCTTATAGAAAATTCTTCCACTATACAGAATCTGTTTAAATCTGCTATTATTTTTTCTACACTTCTTAATATATTCTGTTCAATTACGATTATATTTTCTAAGCTTCTTGCACACTCCCTTTCACGTCTTAAACAAACATTTTCCTCACAACTTCTTTTACATTTTCCTCTATAAATAGTTTTCCTAATTCTTCTTTGTATAGCAAATGTTATTTCGCTTGTTTTCTTTTATTTTGTTAATTAACTTATGAATTTCTATTGGAACTATGAAAATTATGGTTAATATGTTTGAAAATTTAAAAAGCTTTTCCTTCTGCATGGATGTGTCTCAAAACAGAATATCTTTCTATAAAAGGTATATAACTTCTTATATTTCGACGACTGCTGTTATATATTTTGTGTGAATTGGTTTTTGTTAGTTTAAACATTATATATTTCTATTCCATGAATTTGATATATGCATCTTTCTATTTCGGCTTTGTGAAAATTTGACATTTGTGCTTTTCCTTATCATTTTTAACTTAAATTTCGTTTCTATAAATTTATCTACTTATTATTTGTATCTTCCTATACTGCATGTTGAAAAGCATTTTTCGAGAATGTTAAGTACGACCTCTTTCCACATAACAAAATCGCTACCCGTATATATAAAATGATTATAATAATTAGTAATTGAAAATAAAAATCGACAGATCGGAGCCTTTTCCTATAAAAAAAGGTATGTGGTACCTGTGGTGTATGAACTGTGTGATATTAAGAATAATAGGATTTTAAAAATTACATATATATTTATAAAATCAAATCTTTTCACTTTCTTTAAGCCCTCTGAATCATAGAGCCCCTAAACTGCTAGGGGGTGATGTTTAAGGACGAAATTTAGTGCATTGGTCTGTTTTGCAACCGAAAATCAATTTTACTGTCGTATTTAAAGACAAAACCCGACAACACATTTTGGAATATTATAACAGTAAAAAAAAAATATGTTTTTATGCGAAAGGAGTAGAAAATGCAGGATATATCCCAGGATATCCTTAGGGCTTTAATATGGAAATATATCAAAATAAGTTTATTTAAAACTCTTTCAGATATTATTTATAAAAGAGGAAATATAAGTTTTCGGTATAGGTTTTCTCTTGATAGCAACAAATTGATGTACACCTAGATGTCTGGTTGGTATAAGAGATACATAGAAAACCTATTATAGATAATACACTTATTTGTATAAATAAGACCATCAGACAATTCTAAACTAAATAAAATTATTTCGCTTTTCTCGGGATTATGTTAATATTGTTGCAGACGACAAAATAAAGTTATTCAAGTCACAGAGAATTTTCCTATACAGATTTGGAGAAACCATTTCTAGTAAAACCTATAATTAGCAGCGTACCATAAATAAAGAAGTTATTTATTTTTTATTAATATTTCAACAATTAGTGGCACTAAAAATGCTACTCTCATTTTTTCTTTATTTTGATAAGAGGAATCAGTTTTCTAAGCCTTTGGCAATTGTACTATGTGTCAAACAGTCAGTTGCATGTAAAAGTTTAAAAGAGTTAAATTGTTTCTCCCAAACAATACAACATTCTTCTAGTTTGAATCTAATCAAGCTAGAGCGTCTATTTTGTGACTACCTACATCTGTTTGGCGGAGACTTCGACCACGTGTCAATGTGATCGTATCTTAGGGATATACCGTATGTATCACAAATTCTAAGGTATAAGGCGATTTAACTAAACTTACCTTTATTCAAAGTTGCTTCATTTATTCCCTAGATGTTGTTAAAACCGGTTAAAAGTTTTAGGGTTCTTTTTTTAGATATCTATAAAACGCATATTGTAAATTAAATTTGGTACGCTAGTGTATGTAATTGCCACTTTTCGCCAAAATAATTGCATTTACAGAAACTGAAAATATCCCTCTCCTAGGTTTTAGGTGTTTAGGTACTTATTTTGTATAGATGAGGGTCTTTTTCTATTATATAAATGTTTCATATTTCTAACAATGTTCGTGTAATTATTTGTTATCGTCATATTATTGTTTTCGACACAAGTTTAATTAAAGTGTCTTGAAAATTGATTTATTTAATTGTAAAAATGTGAAATGCTTAATGGAGTTTTAAACTTACAATCGATGTTCTTTCTTTAAAATTACTTTAAACTCGTTTCAGTAACATACAATTCAGTCAGAAAATAAAACGATATCGAAGTCATCTCACGTTTCTTCCATTTTGTAGGTAGTGACTTTAACAAACTCAATTAATAAGTTTCTGTGATTATTATTCCTATCTGTGGGAGATTAAATTAGGTTAATTCAACAATTAACTGTTCAGAATTTGCAGTTTTCCGAAATAGTGTCATTTTCCATTTATTTTTATGAAAGAGCATTCGATTACAAGCTTCTTAGCTCCAAGTATTATTTCTACGTCGTTTTTATTGTGAATTAAACAAATATTTGATGAGAATTAGATGAAATTTATATCGAAAATCAACGGAGACAAATAAAGCAATGAATTTAGCGAAAATCGTTAAAAGTACGAAACATTTGCAAGGGAGGATAAAAATTAGAAAATCCCTTTTCTACTTGATTAGAGGAAAAAAAGCATACAGTGTGTTCAAATTTGTCCAAATTTAAGTGTTTTTTTTGCACATAAAGCCTTCTTAAAAGTACTTGGTGAACATGTCACTATGAGCAAATTATAAATCAAAGCTTGTATGATTTTTGTTACCAAAATCATATTAGCAATTGGTTTTATTTAAAAATATGGCAACACAGTATTGTCCTACATCACTTAGGAGCCCTAAGTTTTAAGTTTTATAATTTTTTTTTTATCCATAACTTTCCTACAAAGCATTGAAACTACTGAAGTAGGAAATATTTTAGTATGGTTGTCTCGGAGACCTTGGAATTAAACGAAAATATGTGTCCTGTCTACATTTTCCAATTAATTCTAAGGCCTCTTAGCAAAACCAAACAATTTTTCTCGATATCAGTAATTTGAAGGTTTTGTAGGAATGTTATGGATAAATTGCATGAAATTAAAACTTTAGGAGCTTTTAAGAGAACCATTATGCTGCGTTGCCATATTTTACCTTACAAGAATCGCTAATATTTCTGAAAAAATTACACCGAACTCATAATAGGTGATGGACTTATAATTGCGTCATACTTAATACATTCGCTAAGTACGTTTACAAAATCATATATTAAGACAAATTTTCAATCAAATAGCACAGCTCAGTTAAATTTTACAATATTGTTACATGTCAAAGTTAAACACGATGTATTTCTTTAAATTTACCAGTTCTGTAAATGCAATTATTTCGGATGCTATGTCGAATAGAGATATTCATATTCATACCAAATTTCATTTTATTCAAAGTCCTTTAGTTATTTGGAAAAAACTAAATTTCTTTATCAACTTTAATGTCCTCTAGCGGCTAAATGAAGCATCTTTGAATAGAAGTTAGTTTAATTAATCTGTTTTATTTTTACTCTATATGCAGAGATATTCATATAATATTTGGTTGACCGTCTACTAGATAAAAATGGTAAAGACAAAAGTTTTAGGAAATTTTCTGAATATTTATAAAAAAATAAATGATACATTTCGGATATATAAACCAAACTTGTATTTTTTTGGAACACCCTGTATACTTGTCGCATATGTATTTGCTTTGAGAGTTCCACAATTCAAGAATGCCACGGAACTAGTGCATATATTTTTCCATAATTCAGTTTACTACATATTTTTAAATATTTTATATGTTTATATATTAAGAAAAGATACTATACTGTAAATGCTGATTTATAATAACTGCATTGTGTTCTATAAAAACAGCAATTTTTTAAGTATTCTTATTCTATTCTATTCTATCTTTTTTATGAAGAGATGAATTTTATGATAACTTGATCTCAATATACTTAGTTATTTTTATGGGGGATTCTGAAAGATAAGAGCAAACAAAGAACAATCTAATAATTTATATGTTCAACGGGAGGAAATATTGAATGAATTTAGTACTATCAATGAGATGCGTAAGAGAAAGTCATCAAATACCTTCTATCCAGTCCGTATGATATTTGTTGAGGTAGAATTCCAAGAAGATCCTACGTCATATATTGGAATTAACCGCATTTGACACCCGAGGTAGAAAGACATTGACGGCGGGGCGTTTATTGCACCAGCTTGCAGTGCGTACTGTATTTTGCCGTTATGAAGGAGTGTTTCTTCGTAAGTGTATAGTCTGTGCATTTTCAGTGTAATTTCTTCTTAAAATAAATCAATGATGGTGAAATATAAAAGAAAGAAATTATACCGGGTGGCCCAATTAAAACAGTCCACCTGCAATATTTAACAGGTCGATTTTGCTTTCAATCTATTGATCATAAATCCGGGGTTTTCCGGAAAAACCTGTTGCACTGAAAATATTTCAGGTGGACTGTTTTAATTGGGCCACCCTATATATATTTACCTTATACCTATATATTTTAATAATCTGAAAATAGCGCGGAAAATTTCAAGGCAAGCCCCGGCCGCTGAAAATTGTTGCAGTAGTTCCGATAACAGAACTTTATTGGTTTATTCTTTTCTTGGAATTCTATCTCAACAAATATTGTATGATCTGTAACAATTTTTTTAACAGAGAGTTTAAGAAACAAACCAAAATATTGTGCAAACTACAGAGCATATATGTATATGACATTGTAATCAGAAAAAATAGGGGAATGCAAAAAACATAAAAAAGTAAAGGTTTGGTTTATATTTCCAAAATGCACCATTTCATTGTTTTTGTCATATTTCTTTGAAATTGCACGAAAATTTCCTAAGATTTTAGCCTTTAACCGCTTTCGATAGATAAAAAGGTAACAAAGGCAAGTAAGGTAGGTATTCTATATGAATAACGTTAACAGATCTGATGGGAAAATTCAAAATTCACTTACAGTACGCTCCCCGTTCTGCCTGGTCTCCACGAAAAGGCTGGGATCCCGGATTTTCTGCCTGCAGGCGTTGTGTCTTTTCAGCTTAGCACAGCCGCTGCCAGCAGACCTGAAGCTTCCATTGCCGCATGACCTGGGCCGTCCATCTTCCGAACTAATGCTTTGTGGACGGCGGCGGCTGAAAGTTAATATTCATTTCATTAATACAGATAAATTTTTCAAGGAAAGTTTTCAGGATGAATGGGCGCTAGGTGCAGGGGATAATATCCTTAAATTCTGTTTTATTTAATTACATATAACAAGTAAAAAATAATTTATGACAAATATTTACCAATAAAGATCCATTCCTCAGGATAGAAGTCAAAAGGACATTATTGAATATAAATCTACTCCCTGTTACCGCACTAGTACTTTTTTCATTTATTACCGCCAATGTGTTTTCCGTTAGTTTTGTCAATTATTTTTCTGTTTCATATTTGCATACCAATTTGTGCAATCATGTAAATTCCATTAATCTTCAGAAGTTCCGCAAGGTCAATCCTGGGGCCACTGCTGTTTGTTATTTTTATTAATGACTTAACTGAATGCGTCGGTGTCAATGACATAACTTACTCTATACGGATGACCTTAAGCTGTTTTTAGTTAAATCTTCTACCGATTGTACTAAATTACAATATAATCTTGATATATTACATAGTTGCTGTTTATACATACAGGGTAGGCCATTAGTATGAGAAAGTAAAATAACTCCCTTGTTATTCATAATACAGAAAAAATGTTTATATAAAAGTTGTACAGGATCAAAAAACCTAAAGGACAAAATTAATTTAAAACATACAGGGCGATGAGTAAAAACGGGACACGCCAAATATCACATTTTTTAAACGGAACACCCTGTATATTTTTAAATATATGGATTTCTGAGAAAATTCTATATATGGCAATATAAACAGTTTAATATTTTAGTGCAGGGTTGCCAAGTTATGTAGAAAATTCTTCGAATTTTGGAAGAACCATGACCTCGAAGAAGTTGTATTATTTTAACTACAGACACTTGGAGCAAAAATATTTGACAGTGTCATAGGCAAATGTTAGGCAAAGACTCCTATTTTAGCTAATATCGATAATTTTATACAGGGCAATTTTTATAATAAGTTCATTTTTAGAAAGTTCAAACATGATTTTCTAAGATTTTTCAAAAGGAACACTCTGTATTTTATTGTTCTATTTTATTCACATATCAGTCCACTTCAACTTTTATTAAGTATGTTCTACATCTAATTTATCATTCCATTTTGAGTTAATTTTATTAGTTAATATGTTTAATTGGTATTCTATAAAATAATAAAAATTAAGTTTTTTCAGAAATGTTTCTACATCTTAAAAACTAACAATTTTAGATATAGAACATGCTTATTAAAAGTTGAAGTGGACCGATATGTGAATAAAATAGAACAATAAAATACAGGGTGTTCCATTTGAAAAATTTTAGAAAATCAAGTTTAACTTTCTAAAAATGATTATAAAAAATACTCTGTACAAAATATCGATATTAGCTATTAGCCTTTGTTTAATATTTGCTTGTAACTCTGTCTAAGTATTTTGTTCCAAGTGTTAGTAGCTGAAAATTAGTACAACTTCTTCGAGGTAATGTTTTTTTCCAAATTTCAAAGAATTTTCTACATAACTTGACAACCCCGTACTAAAATGATAAACTGTTTATATTGCCATATACAAAATTTTCTCGGAAATCCATATGTTTAAAAATATACAGGGTGTAAAATGTAATATTTGGCGTGTCCCGTTTTTACTCATCGCCCTGTATGTTTAAAAATAATTTTGTAGTTTAGGTTTATTGATTCTGTACAACTTTTATATAAACTTTTTTTCTGTATTATGAATAACAAGGGAGTTATTTTACTTTCTCAAACTAATGGCCCACCCTGTATAATAATCTACCTCTGAATGTAAATAAAATTATGTCTTACAGTCGACGCAAAACTAATCTAGATTTTGATTATAAAATTGGTGAACCTATTCTAAATAGCAATTTATTGACATGGGTGTTGCATTCGATACTAGATTATCGTTTGACGAGCATATTAGTTTAGTAACCAAATCTGCTCTTAAAAATCTAGGCTTTATTTTCCGTAATTCTAAGGACTTTCAGAACGTAAAGCTTCTAAATACAGTAAATATGTAATTATATACAACTGTGTGTGCTGTAAACTAGAATATGCATCGATTGTTTGGAATCCCATTCATAATGTTTATAATATTCAATTAAATTATTAAAGAGGAGATTTTTAAACACTATTCATTTTATTAGTTAAGGATTTTATCCGCTTCGTGATGTACTTCAAAAATTAATGCTTTCTTGTTTCTAATTTTAATAGTCTCTGTAAACGAATTATGTTTTCAATTATATTCCTTATTATAAATAATACTTTAAATGCAGATTCGACAGTTTCAAGGATTTTGTATCATATTCCTAGACTTAATTCTAGATTTTACTCTGCCTTACAATTACCCACACCACATACAAATTTTCTAAACGCACCTCCCTTATATCAAATAATTTCCAATTATCAAAAGTATGAAGATCGGCTTGATATATTTTTTCAGTCTATGAAAACCATAAAAAAATTGCTTATCTAGCAAATAATGTTATCCTTATTTTGTATATGTTAGCTAGCCTATTGTTTTATTTGTCTGCTATTGTTTATACTTCAGTTTTTTTATCTCGATTTTATATTTTGATTGCTCTATTTTGTGTAGTACTTATATTTTTATATTTATTTTTTTTTTTAATTTACCTAGTTGTGGTTTTCTGTTTTACTTTATCTTGTAACCGGGATTTGGTCCCGTTGGATATTGTAATTTCCAAATAAATAAATTAATTAATCTTACACAGTGTAATTACTGTTAAAAATCTCGTTATTCATAAATGAAATAAAATATTATTTCCATCATTACATTTTCTCAACCGTTTTTGCAGCGTGTTCCGAACCTTATTATTAATTACTTTTGAATATCCAGCATCTCGAAAGAAAACACTTTAGGAAACATATAAGTTTAATTTCCTGAGGTTCATATATTTTCTACGAAACTGCATTTCAACGAATGTAAAGTAAAACTCGTAAAAATAAAAGAACACAAGACACAAGAGGCAAACATAGACTTAAATAAAAGCTGACGTGGCTGTACACCAGCTGAAAATGCAAGTTAGTGTCCAGTAACTCTGTTAAGCACGTACATAATTGAAAAGTAGAGTTGGAAACGAAACTTCTTTACGAGTTACATGTCCACTTCTAGACAAGTGGATTGTTCGAAGATATTTCGGAATTAGTTATTTTATTTTGGTATAATCGAATCTAGTAATTCGTCCGGTAGTGTTAATGTATATTTATATATTTAGAGATATAGGATATTTTCATCAGTTGTGCTACTTCTTTTGAAAACGATAAACGAAACTTTTCACAATGCCCACTATTTTAATTTAAAAGTTTTTCAATGTGCAAGCTAATTTGGTTATGAATCTTCTTCAATCGATACACACCACTTTTTATTTCACCTGCAGATTCTTCAATTCCGAGTCTAATTAGTTCAGTAAATTGTTCCATTTAGTCTGAAATTAACAAGTCGCGGGGTGTCAGATCGAGTGAGTGCGGTGGTCATAGAAATGGTCCTTCCCTTCCTATCCTTCTTTGAGCAAAATGGTCGTTTAGCCAATGCCTAACTTGATGACTGAAATGTGGTAAGCTCCGTTCATTTCAATCCATCCGTAAATTTAAAGGAACTTCTTAACATCTAAGTAATTAAATCATCATCAAGAAAGCATCAAAATTCTATTGCATTCAATTTCTTCGGAAAAATAAATAGTTTCCAATTTACACGAAGCTCTTGATAAAAATTGCGGATTTTATATCGTTTAGTGACCTTTATGAGAAGAAAATTTCGTGAAAACTTCGGAAATTTGTTGCACCTCTACGATCAGACGTGATGTCATATGTCCTTAGAATTATAATAATCAAGTATTTATTCTTGCATAGAACGAAAATTAAAGGCATATAGATGATAACATGACAGCAGATGTTCCACTTCGTTTACCCGATCTGACATCCCTCGACTTTTAAATTTGGAGCTGAATGAAAGTTCCTATTACTATCGTGGAATAATTAACTGAATGAATCAGAAAACTGCAGGTGAAATAAAAAATTGAGGGGGTATCGGTTGAAGGTTCACAACCAAATTAAGTTGCGTATTGAAAAATTTTTAAATTAAAATGGCGGGCAATTTCAACAGTTTCCTACTTTGTTCTCTTTTTTAAAATAGGTCAAATTAAATTAAAATATCGAGCCAAATATTAATAAATGCTATTTAATGAAAAAATAAAAAATTGAATTTGCCATGGTTCGGTGACATATTTTTTTTATTATCTATGACACTCTCGGATTCGACATAAATCTGACTTACTCTGTATAAAAGTTTTCCACAGTGAATCTTTGTGAAACATATCCAAGAATTTTTTTTAATATCAGTTAGTTGACTGATGAAACCACAACAGTAACTTATCTTCATTTAATTACTATATAAAAAATTCTCGAATTTACATTCTTTAACAAAAATATTTAGATCATATGTGAACAAAGCCTAAATGAAAATGTTTCAAATAAAAATGTCTATACAGGGTTACCCGGAAATGAATGGAACATACTTCAAGGGTTCCTTAGATATTGAATTTACTTTTATACTCGTATCAAGTTAACTTCACTGGCCTTCAGAAACATGTATTTCACTTTATAAGATAGCTCCGTCGCTTTTTGAGATGTTTCAGATTACTTAGACCATCCTGCCTCTATTCAAATGCCAACGACTTCATGAATATGAAATATACAGGGTGTTAGTAAATAAGTGCGACAAATTTCAGGGGGTGATTCTACATGAGAAAATAATGGCAGTTTGCTTATAAACGTATATCCGCAAATGATTGATAATGTATTAAAGAAATAAAAAATACGCGTTAAGATGTTTTATTTTTTTGCATCAAAATGGCGCCCCATACGAAGAAAAGGCAAGAGAGATTTTTTGTTACAAATTGAACGAGGAATTCAAAAATGATTTAATTTGTAATACCTCAGTGGCGTACCATTTTTTTCTTTAAAAAAATTGAGATTA